CGCTCGGCACCGGGGTGAGGAACGGCCCGGGATGAAGGGGCAGCTCTAGGGACAGCAGTGCCTGAGCCCTGCGGCTCAGGAACCCTGTGCTGCGGGCACTGTCTGCCAAAGGGTCATCAGCTCCTATTTAAACTCCCCTTTTTAACCTCCCTTCATTTTCAAGATGTTTTCTTGCTGGTCTCATGCCCAGTTCTTGATCACAGCCAGGAGAAATGTGGTGGCTTCTCTTTCACAGGACAGAATCTCTGCATGTCAGTTTTTCTGCCTCTCTGTAGACTCTCTGTTATGTGGAGAGGGAAGCAGCCACTTCATCAGCACCAATAACTCAGGGATGTTTTCACACAGTCTTAAAAGTTTTCATCTTCATGCAAAATAGCAAAGAAGTTCAACATGCCCAGCCGCTATTTTTGCACAGCCTGTGTAACCTGGGTTAAAATGTTTTTGCAGGGGGAGAGGAGTGGGTTAAGACTTATGAATTCTGTGGAATATGTGACTGGTATATCCCCATATCAGCTCCCCATCATCAGCAATCCCGTGGCACCAGCACCTCCTCCCCCTCTGCCGAAAGGAGACAGGAGCAGAAATGCAGTGAGGAGTGGGATGCTCAGAGGCAGGTGGTTCCGTCCCACCACTGCACCAAATGACCTAGAGCAACTCTTAACTAAGGTGAGTTGTCCCTGTGTGCTTCTCAGTTCATGTACAGGTATCTTGCCTTCCTCCCTGGTGGATCCACCTGGTGCTGAGAGGTGTGTCTGTCTAGTTTGCACAAAAATTCACTGAAGTTTTGGAAGAAAGAAGATTTGTAACTATAAAACTAGAGAACTGCCACCCATATCTCTATCTACTGAAACATTCAGTGCTTTTCAACAGCTGGGGAGGGAACTGATAAACATCAGTTCATCAGGGAAAAAATGGTGCTTGAACAGAAAAAACACAGCAGCTCTGATTCGGATCTTCCATCCCAGCCAATCTGTGTCTGGCTGGATCTGGTAGCAGAACTTCTGAGGGACATATGAAACACCTTGAGTGTATGAAATCTTCACCTCTTGCACTATAGCTCCAGCCAGTTTGGACTCCTGAAAAGGAGTTCCAGTAGGAACTCAGCACTGGGAGGGACAGTCACTAAACCTGGTTCCTGCAATTTTTGGCAATTTAATGCCAGGGATTTTCAAAGTATTTTCTTGCCCTTCTGCACATTACAAAACACTTTCCAATTTCAGCAGCCCAGGGCCTGTCTTTGCAGACTGAAAGCCCCATGTATGGCACACAGGCATGATCTTGGTGTCCACCTTCTGTTGGAGCTGGAAACTGGATGCATTTTCTGGTGTGTTTCCTGCAGAGCTCTGGAGGACCCCCCAAGGCCTCGTTGCGCAGCAATGCCTTTGTTACCATGGTCTTTCTAGGGAAAAGTGTGCACTTAGCTCATGATGATGCTGACTACAGAGATGAAATCAAAGTCTACCAGCAGCACTGTGGAGGAGAAAACCTTTGTGTCTACAAAGGCAAGCTCTTGGAAGGAGGTAAGGATCAAGAGTCAAGGAATTTGTGTTGATTCTGGCAACATCTCTCTTTTTTTCCTCTTTTTTTTGGCTAAAATGTTGCTGTGATATCAAAATGATTTCAGCTGGGCTCAGAGCATCCAGGGATTTTTATACCATCTACCTCCATACTAAATCTGGATCTACTGTTTCATGATGGAAAGTGAGGTTACTTTGCAAATTATGGTAGAACAAATTTAGAGAACTGACTCAACAAAATACTGTAGCTTAGATTAATTTTGTATGGAGATGCGTGGTTAATGAAGTAGCTGTAGTGATAAACTGTCCTTAAACAGGGGTAATCAGCTTCTGACTTGCTATGATACATCAATGCATGTTGCTTACTCTTGCAGAAGGAAAAGTACATCCCGGGAGCCCAATTCCCAGCTCTTTTACAGGAGTGTGATCCAGTCACGCCAATTAAGGGCAGATTGTGTTTTGGGAGATTGGGAGGGAGCACTGACCAGGAGATTTTCACTCATGAGGGAGTGATTGCACAGATCACAGCCCTTGTTCTGGCTCACAGGTCCCTGTGTCTGCATTTTCCCTGGGCAGGGGCAACTGGTGGTGCAGGGTCCCTGCGTGGCAGCCTGAGGTTTGGGGTGCCTGGGGGTGTGCCCCCAGACCCAGCTAGGGCCTTTGTGGCAGCTGTGACCCATCTGCCCTCTGTGTGTGTCCCCAGCCCCCATCACACCTCCTGGGGAGCTCACTGGGGGACAGGACCCCTCCTCCCTGCTGGGGAGGGCTCAGTTTGCTTTGGAAGGACACTGAGCTGTGGGCTTAGGGGGTACAACCCAGTGCCCCCCACTTGGAGCTGGGGAGCAGCATCAGTGCCTTAAGGCCTGGATGCTGAGCAGTGCCCTTGGAGGGGCCTGAACTGGCTCCAGAATCTGCACCTTCAGCTGCTCAGAGTCACCCCAAGTGTGGCTGCATCAGTGCGGGTGAGAGAGGAGCCTGTTGTGTGGGTTGCAGGTAGAGTTTTACCAACTAGTAACTAGCCAAGGACCAAAATGCCTGACCTGGAGGCTGGTGATGCAGGTGAGACATAGCAGCTGCCCCAGGCTCAGCCTCACCCTTTGAACCTCTCCTTTCTGTGGTTGCAGAGACCTTTCAGTTTGTCTCAAAGAGGCACCAGGGGTTCCCCTTCAGCCTCACCTTTTACCTCAATGGGATCCTCGTGGACAGGCTGAGCTGGTGCTGTGAGTACAAACACCAGAAGTGCTCCAGGCTGGGAGGCAGACGTGGGCACTTTGGGTTTGTCCGTGTGGAGGGAGCAGCTCCTTGCTACAGGTATGGAGGCAAACAGACTTTGCTCACAAGGACTCAGCAGCCCTGTTTTTAGAGAGTTTATAACTTGTTTCTTCTGTTTTAATCTTCCTGGCATCCCACAGCTCTGTAGAACCTCTATTTCTCAGCGCCCCTTGAAACGTGCAGAACTGAGTTTATCCCCCAGGGTTCCCCATGCAGGGGTGAAGTCCCTGCAGCCTCTCTGGAGGATGCACAGGAGGGGACAGGGGCACTGGGGCTGTCACCTTCCCAGGGGGCAGCCAGCCCTTCCTCAGCAGTCAGGGTGGAGGAGTAGGTGGGGGCTGAATATATGTCAACTGCATGTTTCTGGAGGAAGGGATAGTCAGATAAATATAAAAACGAGAAGAAACTGTATAAAGAGCTATAAAAACCCCTATGGTTTTCAGGGTTTTCTTTGTGATTGTGAGAACAAGTTAATTTATATTTTAGACAGCTCTGCCTCTAAGGTGGGATTCTGCCCTAACGCCCCTGGCTGCAGAGTAGGGCAGTACTGGATGTTTGCCATCTCTCAGACAAGAAACCTGTGCAGAGATTCTTGGTTTGGGCTGTGAGCAACATCTGTGGTATTGCCAAGAAGCTTGAATGCATTAAAATCTTCCTTTTGTGTGATTTTTAAATAATGTCAGACAGGCAAACTTCTGCAAACATGGGTAATTTAAAAACTTTTCTGTTATTTTCATGAGTAATTTTTAGAAGAGCAGGAAACAGTGGGAAGAAGAGAATCTCCACAGAGGTTCCTATTTTTAGATAAGGATCAAATTCTGAAAAAAAAAATATTCTACTTTTTTGTATCATATTTTTTCTACTCCAATCTCACATTGAACATGATTTATGTAACTCTGTTACCTGGTATGTTCAAAGCAGTGAAAAGCATCAGAATTCAGAATGGATACTGGGCCTGTAGAGTTTATGAAATGTCAAATCTCAGCTTTTGTGGGATTTCCAGAAAGATTTGAAGTGAATGTTCTGAATTAGTGTAGCCTCCAGAAACAGGTTAATTTCTCCTGAGTCACCCGACGTTCTGTCCACATTCCCCTCCTATTAGTGATATCTCTGCTTTCCTGTCTCCTGTCATCCAGCCAACCTTGCCTGGTGACTGAAAACCCTCTCCATTAAACACGTGCCTGCCTTCCTTGGTGACTGTATCCTCATGGATCGTGCTTGGTTGGTGTAGCTTGGAATTAATGGGCACTAACACTAATATTTATTATAATATCTTCATACTTCAATTGCTGCCTTTAAGTGCAGACAGTGCTACTCCCCTTCAAGGAGCTGCTTCTGTTGTTTGTGGAGCACGAGGATGTTAGGGTGCTTCTCCAAGTCAGGCATGCTCAGTAACCTTGGTGTCTGAGTGGTGGGTGCCTGGTTTTGCTGCTGCTAACGAGTTAGGTAGCTGGCTGGCTGCTGCCTTCCACTGTTCACAGAAAGGAAAATGTGAGACTTTCCAATTCTCCTTGTTTTCTATAGGTGCATTATTGCAATGGGTCTGGACAAAAAGCCATCCCCTCCCAAGAGAAAGATCGAAGCCCAGGAGGAAAAGCGTGTGGGTTCCTGGAGAGATGGAGAGCACAGTGAGCCAAGTGCAAGCAGTGATGAGCAGAAACCAAGGAAAGAGTCAGTGTTAGTCATCTTGCCAATTCATGAAGTGAGTGTGGAAACTGTTGAGGACACAATGGAGACAGGACTGGAGTCCAGAGGAGAAGAAGGGAAAAAACTGTCTGACCACGAGAGTGAAGACAGTCAGGAAGACAATGGCAAAAATGGTACAGTATTCCAAAACACAGCAGGGGATGAAAACTGGGAGAACATGATTCTCTGGAAGGTATGGGACTGTGGGCCTCCAGCTTCACCTGGAGCATCCTCTCTTGGGACACCTCGTGTGAGAAATGTGGCGATGCCTCTGTCTGGGCAACACAGGCAGAGTGGCAGGGACAGGGGAGAGGGGTTTGCCAGGACAGAGAGTGTCCTGAGGTGGGCAGGAAGGCAGGAGTGAAGTGGGGCACAGGAAAGGGACAGCAGTGAAGGAGCAGAATGGCAGCAGGTGGAGGACAAGTTGAGCAGAAGGAAGGAATGGGGCTGGGTAGGGAGACAGTGAGTGTGAGGTGAGCTCCTGAGGGACACAGGGCAGCAGCACGAGGTGAATGGAGAGCAGGGCAGCCACAGGCAGGAGGCAGAGGAGATGTGAGATGGCTGAGAGGAGGGATGAGCCATGGAGGGATGAGCTGAATTCTGGGTGCAGAGGAGGGAAGGTGGGAAGGGCCCACAGCAGCAAAATGTCACCAAGATGTAGCTCTAGGTGAACTCCTTTAGTCTTTTTAATTTAGTTTATAAGGCACTTCTTTGCTAATCGGCCATGTCAATCCACAGTTATCCTACTTTGTGCTACAACAGATTACCTTTCTCCAGCTTTCCCTATTTCTCTATTGTTTTTTCCATTGCAACAGGTTTTCCCTCTATAATGAGGCTATCTTGCACTTTCTGAGTTTGCCCAGCTCTTAATTTTTCTAGTCCTTTCAGTGGCTAATGTTTCTGTTTGTTTTGTTTTAATGTATTGATCATACTTGATGCATCATTCAGTAGCTTTATTGCATTTTTGCTACTCTATGAAGAACGTGATGGTTTTTAATTATAATGTACTCTTATGATTCCTATCCATGGTCTTAGGTTCTCTCGTGGCTTTGAAAAGACTGAGTAAAAGCAAAGGGGATCAATGAAGTCTGCTTAAAAATAACTTTATTAGTTGTGAATTCTGTTCCCTGTCTCACAGTATGGTTCTTTTATTTTAGAGTATGATGATGATTTTGAAGCAGATGAAGACAGTAATGAAGAGGGACAGACTGGTGATCAAACGAGTGGAATGTCTAAGTCAATCTCAGATGATAAAAACCCAGATTCAGACCATGAAAAGGAGGGCAGCAACTCCTCACAGAACGTTCTGCCGGCCTCCGACAGTGAGGAAGATGAAAGTGGTGGATGTTCTGACATCGACTCAGAGGATGATAAAGAAGGTTAGTTTCGTCATAATGAGGCTTAGAGGAGCTGACCTGATGCATGTTTTACATTTTGTGCATGTCCAGTAGATAGGTTGGTCTGCACAGGAAACCCCTGCAACTGACAGCTCTTGTCTCTGTGCGTAGTGATCCCTCCACCTGCCACGGAACCCAGCCAGACCCACGGGCAGTGTGAGCGTGTGCCAGGCTCAGCAGGCACTGCTGGACTCTTCAGTTGCTGAAATGAAGGCTTGCCAGTCAGCAAATTAGTTCTAAATCCCTGGGGCAGATCAGCACCCATGTCAGTGGTCACCCAGCTCGGAGGAGCTGTGACCCTTCACACCTGCCGGGGGTGCCTGCTTTTCTCTGGAAAACCAATGTGTCTTGTACAAGTGTCTGTTGTGGCCTTAACAACCAGAACCTCAGCCTTGGCTCAGGTCCCTCACCCACCATCCTGGCCCTGGGCAGGAGCAGCAGCTCGGCTGCCAGAGCTTCCTGAGGGTCCTTGTTTGAGCCTGTGCATGAGTGGCACTCAGAGTCAGTAGAGTGGTCAGTGATTCTGGATCCAAATGTAGGTACAAAAGTGTGCAGTGACATGTCCAACAACATCATTGCTATTAGTTCAGAAAGATGAAACTGTTCTGGGATACATTTTAGTAGAATAAGTAGCTCTTGCTGTCATTCAGCTTCTGGGTCAGCACTTCAGTGTCTTAATGACTTCATGCAGTCCAAACCATGCCTCTTCATGAACAACCCCACAGTGAGCTTGCAGGCAGTTTCTCACTTATTAGACAAACAACAGAATTCCACCCACCATATGGTGAATAAGTCAAAAGGGAACTGTCTCTTCCTTCTGGCACAGTGTTTTATTTCTCTCTAGCATTTCTCCTCTGTGGTTTTGTTAGATCCTGAGCTGACTTATGTGCCTCTTGCTTGTCATGATGGCCTTGGAGTCCTCATCTAGTTTTATCCTGGTTTGTTTTCAATTCTACATCTGGCCCTTGGCCAGGTGTCTAGGAAAATACAAGAAAAGAGCAAGATGCTGAGCTGCTTCCCCACCCTGTCTTCCTCCCCTGTAATTAGCTGGCACCACCTTTGAGTGGTTAGGCCTAAATCTTGTCTTCAACCCATGTGAACTTTGGATACCAGCAATGCTGTGTAGCAGTAAGATCTACTGTTCAGCTGAATTTTGGATGCCTTTCCCCTCCCCCCCTCCTTAAATTTTCCATTTATAAATTACATATGATTGTCCCTGTATCCTTTTATAGAGGAGACAGTGAACTTCATCTCCAGTTCAACATGAATGCTGTACACATGGTTTTATAGATCTGTATCACATTCTCTGAGGTGACAGGAGAGCACTAAAGGACTCTTGCTGTCGGTGACATCTTTTATCAAATGGAGCTCAAGAAACTATTCTGAAACCTGTCTGAGTTGTACTTAGAGGTGCTTTTGGAGGTGTTTTTCTGTCTGATTGATGGAGCTAATCTGGTTCATTTCCATTTTCAGAAAAATATATGTTAAATGGCTTTGATTTTAACACTTTGATACACCCGGGTAACGTCCTTCTATGAGACTGGAATTTTGTCATGCTGGCCTCAGATGGTGTAATTCAGAGATTGGTGTCAGATGAGAGTTGGTCCCTTTGTGCACAGCAAAGGGGACTAGTTCCTCATGAATGCAGATGTTGTGGTGACAAATACCCAGAGCTGTGTTTGCTGCTCCCAGGTCACAGGCCCATCCGCTGCTGCAGCAGCCAAGATGAATCTCCTGGTGACACGATGACAGAGGGTGTGAAGGACAAAGAGGAGCAGCATGTCCAAAGGGCACCTGGGGACACAGCACGTGCATGGCATGGAAGTGAGGACAGGGAGGAGAAACTGCTCGGGATGGAGGAAATTCAGGAAACATTTGCCCCAGAAAAGGAAGGAGAAGATGAAGCAGAAAAGGCAGAGCCAGAAGATGTGACAGCAGGGGAAGGGAGTGGGATTTTCCCTGAAAACAGAGTGGCAACACAGCATCAAAGTCCTGAAGTCAGTGGGGAGCTCCAACAGGCTGGGTCAGCAGAAAGCAACACAGAGGAAGATGGGGAGAAGAATGCAAGTACCACAGGGGATGATGGGGTGGAAAGTCTTCCAGTGGCTTTGGAAAGCAGTGTGACTGAAGTGGAGGACAGCAGTGAGGAGGCTCCTGGGGCAGGAGGTGAGTGCAGCCCCTCTGCACAGCTGCTGGTGACCTGCACACCAGGGTGGGGGTGCAGGGCTGGGCTGTGTGCAGCTGCTGCAACACTGCTGCTCTGAGCAAAATAACCCCCCAGAAGGTGGTCTTGGTTAGTCGTTTCTATTCTAGTGTTTCTGGGCAGAGGCCTTGGCTATTCTTTTTCTCTCCAGTAGCTGGTTTCACGTGGCATGCAGTTATTACAAAATCCAAATGGGGTTTCCTGCTTCTGGGAGAATCTGTGTGCCAGGCTGGGGGACTCTGTGTGGAAACACTAGGCTCAAAACCCCAAAATTGCCATGTGAGTCATGGTGCAGCAGGTGAAGATCAAAACCGTGTCAGCTGATCCCTGGTTGAGTTGCTTCACTCTGTCATGGATTTGTTGAAAAGGGGCAAATCAGTTAGTTGTGTGACACCTCATTTTTACTGTTGATAAAAGGGACAACTTCCAGTTTCAGCCTTACCTTTCTCAGTAATGGGCAATTAATAACAGGGTGGCCAGAGGAGCAAAGCTTTGCATTATTGTACCTGGGAAATGGGGAAAAGAAACAAGTCCTTGCTGTGCCCTGATGAGACCCATGGTGCTCTGCTTGAGACAGGACTTCTCCTAAACACTTCTGTCCTTCATGGTGCAGAACTGATTTATCAGAGAAAACTGTATAGGCTGAAGAAGGCACAGGGTGCAAAATGCTGCTCGGGGTTGTTGAGGTGCAGGCTGGGCACAGCAAATTTTCTTCTTGTAACTGTGCTGGTGTCCCTTCACTGCTTGGGAGGGATGGCAGCTTTAGGAATAACCCTGTAAAACAGCCTGAACACTAACACAGTTCTCAATAAAACTAATGTTTTGATTATTTCCTAATAGCGCCAGATGAAGCTTTCTTGGCAGAAGGAACAAGGACACTTGATGTGCAGAAGGCAGCAGAACAAGTGGTTCGAGAAGGGCAGATGGCAGGGGAGAGCCAGGCGCTGGAGAAGGAAGGTTTTGTTGCTGAGGGAAGAGCTGCTGGCTCCAAAGAGGCAGGAGGAGGAACGGGACAGGCGGGAGAGGTGCTGCCCCAGGAAGAGGAGCTGTCTGTGCTGCAGGCCCTGGAGGAACCTGCACCTGAGGAGAGCACCGTGGCAGGAGGAGATGCCCAAGGAGATGGAGCAGGGAAGGGAATGGAGTCTGGCACAGCAGGGACGCCTGAGGAGCAGGAAGTCCTGATGGAAGCAGCACTGGGAGAGCTGGCACCAGGGGGAGAGGAGCTGGCAGGGACATTGGGCAGCAGGGAGGCAGGGGGAGCAGTGTCCGAGGGGGACGAGGTGGCTGGGGAGGACTCGGAGGGAGAAGAGGCTGCAGAGGAGATCTCTGAGGCAGCACTGGAGGCTGTGGGAGCCTCAGAGGTGGAGGAGGCAGTGGGTGAGACAGTGCCAGGGGGAGAGGAGGCTGTGGAGGAGGGAGGGAAGGGTGTTGTGCCGGGTGAGACAGTGTCCAAGGGAGAGGAGGCCATGGAGGGGGGAGGTTCTCGAGGGAG